ATTTATATTTTATTTTTATTTATATTTATTTATATTTCAAATGTGTCACCGCCCATCTCACTGTGGGGTGACTCTGGGTGGTTTACAGTAAAAAAGAATAAATATTAAAATAGATAAATATTAATCAAAATATGTTTTATTTTTACCCTTATTTTACCCTTTCTCTCTCTAAGGTTACATCATAATTTCCTTCTTTCCATAAGCTATGCTTTCTAATCTTCAAACTCATAAATCATTTTTCTCTTTTTTCAGCAAAAAGTCCATAAGGGGTTTCCAGTCACTAATGTAGTTGTTGATCTTTCTCTATTCAGACAAGTTAATTTTGCCATCTCTGCTAGTTCTGTCATCTTCACCAACCATTCCTCTGTTGTGGGTATTTCAGAATCTTTCCATTTTTGCACCTATAATTGTCTCGCAGCAGTAATCATATATAAAAATAATTTTCCATGGCTCTTTTCTAATTGACTATTTATTAATCCCAACAAGAAAAGTTCTGGTTACAAGTGCAATTACAAATTATAGTTGGAAACTCTGTATCTCAATCTCTCTATTTAACGCCAAATTGTCCAATAGGAACAAAATGTTCCACTGAATCTAATGCTGTGAAAAATAGCATTACCTCAGCAGCAGCCTTCAGCTTCATGCTAATGTAGAGGTTTGAATCATCCCGATCGCCAACCTGTGGAGGAAAAAAAAATCAGATTATTTTACAGTCCAGATTCAGCTACTATTTTCATCCATGCTATAGAAGACTAGATTTACAGAAAGTGTTTCAAAGCTGAAGGGTTCTGATCTTCAAAACATCTTGCACAACTCTAGAATATACCTCTCTACCCTAGATCACTGTTTACTCTTCCAAGAAATTGGACATTGCCAAAACAGAACCAAATGATACTAATAACAATGTTGTACTGCTCTAAAGTACCTTTTCATCTTAACCTGTTATTTTAGTCATGGTGGGGAAACAGTTTTGCATATAATGTAGTGAATAACTTGAGTTATTAATCTCATAAAAAATGATAACACGTTTCCACATATGCACGTTTCTTGGTTATAACCATGACCTGTAAAGCCTACAGTTTTCTGTCAATCAGATTTGACATTTAATGGTCTTTTTGAGCAATGCCAAATTGCTCCAGTTATCTTTTCATTGATGCACTAGCTCAACTGGGGTCTTGTATCTGCCTTAGCAGATACAGGCTGCATTCTTTCTCTACCATAATTCTTCCCAGTCAACAGGGGTGTTCTTTAGCGTGCTTAGCTGGAATACAACAGACTTTAAAATCTCCACTCTAAATATAAATGTATTCATATTTAATCTTCCTTTTAAGCTAAAAAACATTTTACAAGTCTGCTTGTAATGTGTAAGATAATGTCTTTCTCAAACTGAGCTCACAGTGACTTCATAGACACATCCAAGTAGCATAAATACAAGAAAAAAGAAATAGAAATAAAATGTTTGGTATCATGAGAAGCTTTTTTGAGATCTTTTCATGTTTGAACCTACATCTAAAATTCAATAGATGGTACTAAGGTTGTGCAGAGCATTGAATTCAAAGGGGAAAAAAGGCACTTTGGAGCATGCAGGAGCATTCAAGTAGCATTTCTTGGCAACTCTCTAAAAGTAGATGCATCTTTTTCTGGAATCATGTAGCTGTTCTTATAGCTGCAGTGTAATCCCAGCAGTTTGATTTAAGCATCCCTGCCTGCTCTGAAGCTCCCATTTCTCCTCTGAATTCAAAGTTTGCGTAACTCCAGAAAAACTCTCTCTCTGGATGCAGCTGCCATTCCTGATAAAGTTTTCCTGCTTCATAGGAACATTAAATGGTGTTATCAACAATTTGCTGGGATACAGCACCTTCATGGTACCAAAAAAAAAAAAAAAGATTAGTTTGAGGTGTTATTGACTGTAGGGGCTATGGGAATGCATGGGACAGCTATACCTCACTGAGGAGGTGCTATACGTCAACAATGCACCCAAACTACTATATGCTTGGCTTGAATCTAACGGTGACCAGCTTATGGCAAACAGATTTTTTTATACCAATGCAGGATAATATTTGAGGGGTTGGAGGCTTTCTGGTGCATCGCAAGGGGTTTTAAATGTGGGACTGAAATTGCACTGGATAATTTAAGGGTGCTATGTTGCTACAGTATCTCCGCCCCTGCTTTAGGCAACATTCCTAACTTATCTACCTGATGGTACAGGGGACATCACCAAGGGATGGAATCAGTCTCCTCATTCATACATGAGCACCTGAAAAAGGCTGTAGAAACAGCATTTCTGAACATGTGAGCCAGCTGCTTTAAATAACACTAAATAAAAAAATATAATATATAGCCTTTACCTGCAGAATAGCAAGGCCTGGCCTGAAACCTGGAGCCTTTGTTTTCATTTCTGCAACTTGGTTCTTCAGTCTCTCCCTTACTTGGCTAGAAAGAACAGGTGAGAAAGAGAGCAAACATTAAGAATTAGTAGTAGATAAAAACAATTGGGAGGGTCTAATTCCAAAGACAAGCCCAAGGATTTAAATCTGGACCATTTAGTTTTGCCATTTTAGTCCCCAAGTCCACAGATGTAAGGCTGCGCTGCTGACCAGAAAATAAAAGGGTGGTGGTGATGGAATCCATCAATTGCTCAGGTAAAGTTGATTGTAAACTTTACTCTCTCTGCTCACAAAATATCATGAAGTGTCAATGGTGCAGTTGTGAAGGTGTGCAGTTGCTCAAAATGGGGTGAAGTCTCACAAGGAGCAATTATTAAAGACAGTCTTTAAAACCCTGATGTGTTTTACTGGCCAATGTATAATGATCAATGTATGAACTGAATGAGATAGTCTGGCACGAAACATCAAAAGAACACCACTTCTTAATTTATTATTTACAATATTTATCTGCTGATTTTCCTCCAAATGCTCAAAGGTGCATAATGTCCTATGAGGTAGGTGACAGACCCAGGTGAGTTTTAACGATAACTGGAGATTTGAGTCTATGCCTTGCAAGCATGGTTTGACACTCCAGCCACCAAAAATGGAAATTACAATACATTCTTGTACAAAATATTATGCAACAATATTTCTTATCTTTAATTATTAGGTGGAAATATTTAATTCAAGGAACAGTCAAACTGGAGAAAAAAAATCAAACTGATAAACCAGTTGCTACATCATTTGCTACCATATACTCTCCTCCTGTAAAACTAACAATCATCGCCTTTCAGTGCCACCTGGTGAACCCAGAGTGCAACTGCAAATAACTTTTTTTTTCCTTAATATTTTCTGGGAGGCTAGTAGAGCTTAATAATGACTTACTATAGACATTGTATTAAGCCAGGTTCTGCTTAACCATAATTTATCCCTGAGCTAGAATTGGCTGAGTTTTTGTCATGCTAACTCATAAACCATGTTTTGCAAAATACAAGGGCTACAATGTATTAATGATATCACCCCCCTCCGCACACACACACACCCCAATATGAATTAATGCAACACATGAAACTAGCTACTGTTTGATTAAATCGTTGTAAAGATATGAAAAAGCAGCATTCCAGGCATCATAGTATGTTACTAACAGGGATTTGAGAAAGAGACCTAAGGCATTTGATGCTGTTTATACAGGGCCTGTGTCAGACTTTACAGATACAACAATAAATCAACTCTGCATTCATAGAATTGCATCCTGCACCCAACAGCAGAAACTTCACACACTTGACACAGCTAAGGAAGATGCTTAATTGCAGACACGAAAGAAGTCCTATTTATACAAAGATCTGCCTGCTGTGGAACACAAAAAAAAAGTCTGGACTTGAAATCCGAACACTTTTCGTCCTACCTTTTGGAGTCAATGGACTTTTGGCCATTCTTTTTCCAGCCGTGAGAGTGAGAAGCAGCAACTCAGGGTTTACGCAATAGATCTCTCTCTCTGGCCTGAACCAGCCTTTAAACATCCAATACTGGTTCTCAATAAATTACCACTTGTACTGCCAAATCTAACACCTCTCCCAATAAAACCTACTTAAGCCATTGTCACTCAAGACCAAAGTCAACATCTGGTATTCTTGACACTTGCCAAAGTGCTAGCGTAGGGATACCCACAAAAGCTACACAAATGGAAGGAGCTACTTAAACCACTGAGTCCTATTCAGCACCAGAATGCAAATTAATGCATCTTCAACAGAGGGCTATCTAAACCTCTGCTTGAACACCTCTGGTGAAGGGGAGCTCACTACCTTTCAGGGTAACTGATCAACTATCAAACTGCTCTTGCTGTTAGGAAGTATTTTTCTGATATTCATTCAGAATCTGCTTTCCTGTACATCAGTGCTTCTCAACCGTGGGAACTTTAAGATGTGTGGACTTCAACTCCCAGAATTCCCCAGCTAGCGATGCTGGCTGGGGAATTCTGGGAGTTGAAGTCCACACATCTTAAAGTTCCCAAGGTTGAAAAGCACTGATGTACATTAAACACTACACTCTGAGGCCATAAAGAACAGTCAGTATGTGGTGCACTTTAGAAGATGCACAGTTGAAAAGGTGTCACACTTGTCAGCAACCCCTTTCAAAAGTGAAACCTGTGTAATATGCACATATGAGTTAAGAAAGGCATCCTCACCTGCTCTAAAGGACCAAGTTGGATCTGGTCAATATCTCCTTAAGCCAACTTCATACTTTCCTCATGTTGTGTGGCTACTGCACAAGCCCAAGAAAAGATATAGTTTTTGGAGGTGCCAACAGATACATGTACATCCATGCCCACTGCAAAACACCTTTTCATCTTTGAATTCGAAGCCCAGGACATCCCTAGAAAATAAGTCTTGATCTCTCAATGTGACACTCCTTCAGTTATATTTTTTTCAAGGCTAACCATACCTAATTTCCTCAATCTCTCCCAGTAGGACTTAATTTCTAGTTATCTTTGTCTTAATTTTCTCTTGAGACTGGCATTTAAAACAGCACCAGTCATCCTTTTAAACACCCATAATGCCTGTACTGGTGCTGTGGCATTTTCTCTTCTTGCTTTTCTACTAAAGAAACTACAGATTAAATCACAGGCTAAAAAATTACATAAGTAAAATAAACCAGGAACAAAGGCCAGAGGGGGAAAAAAAGCAGCATCCACTGACAGAGGGGGAGAACCGAAAGGTCATCCATGAACTCCGTAAAATATTCCTAATATTACAAATACTGGTTTTTCAAGGTAACATTTGAAATAGTCCTGTAAGCAGTTAATATCTCTGTTAGCTTTAATTTCACAATATTTAGTTTATTGATTTATGATGTGCCATCAAGTCAGTGTCGACTCTTAGCAACCACATAGATAGATTTAGCAATTTCCATGGAAAAAAGAGCTGATAGTACAGGACAACTGCTCCAAATATCAGTTAATATTTCACCAAATCCCACTCCAAGAATTCCATTATATGCCATTTCAGCATGTTAAGAGTTAATTCCCTACTTGTAATACTGATCATAAAATATTTCCTATCACCATAAATAAGTTTTTTCACATATATACTAAATAGCAAAATTTCTGTTACTGCATTCTGCTTTATAAATATCAAGTGATTTGAAAATGCAGTCCTAAGTTGGTACAAAAGGGCCTGATGAAGCTAATTTGCAAATCAAACAAATTAATTTAGCATCCCTAATTTATGTTTCCAAATACACAGAAAGGGGAAGGGTATGAGATATTTGCCACAGAATTTCTGTAAGTGGCAAGTAAAATAACTAGTTAATTATTCAAACGATGTAATCTTTAGTTTAAGAAAGCCAGATACACAATGAAATAAATGTTGTTAATGCCATTTTGCACAATGGGTTTGTTATTATATCTTAATGAAGTTATTTAAATTAGTAGCTTACTACACTGCAGTTACTCTCTTATTCTTACAAGAATGTTACGTAGCCCAAGCTGCAGCACGACAGTATTCACACATCACACTAAGCCACAATAGGTTTATTTGATTTCCCTTTAGCAAGTTGCTTGAACTCAGTCAACATGGCTGATGACAGGGAACCTCAAAACTTTGTGGATATTGAGCACTTTTAGAATTTTGTTATGTTGTGGCTTCTCTTCCAGATAATTGCTGGGGATCTTGCATGTACAAAAAATGGCTTTCCCGAAGCATGCAAGCAGTTACAAAGTGAGAAATTATCAGAATTCTAGGTGCCATCCTCTCTCTTGAAGGACACTCCCTCCTGATCCTGCTTACCTTTGTCCTTCTTCTGGGCAGACAGGCGCCCTTCCAAACTAAGCACTGGCTTGCAGCCACTTATCATTTTCATGTTCTAAAAAAAACCTATGGTGCCCATAAGAGTTCTTAAAAATAGAGATGAAGCCAGAAGTTGGCTGGCACTAATATGCCAGCTTAAGAAAGGAAGGAAGGAAGTTAGTTAGTTAGTTCAACTGGGATAGGGAACCTGGTGGGGATCAAGTTTAGGTTACTATACTGCCTCGTAATTTTCTATAATAAACAGCAGCATGGAGATATTTTTATTTCAAAGAAAGTGAGAACTCAGCCAAATGTGGCTTATTCAACAAACTATGGCTAAACAAACCATGATTTAGCACAATCTGTGACTTAAGACAATGACTGCTTGAAGACCGCCCAGTGGGTTCTGGGGCCCAGGAAGTATTTGCTCTCTGCTCATCCCAGTCCCAAGATCAAAGCAATCCACTTTTCCACAATAGTTGAAATGCTATTCTGTTTTTTTCTGATACTATATAGTATGGGTCATGTTAAACATTTGCAACAGCTTACAGTTCCAAAGATCATTAAGGGGGCAGATTCTTGTAGCTGCTAGAAAGGGAAAATTCCACACTACATGTAAGAACAGAAACTTTGCCTTAAACCTCACAAGTAGTCTGGTCACACTTAAGTACTATTTAATCAGCAGCACATGAGCCTTATGAGGTCTAAACCCGTGATTTCCTCTCCCCTAAAAGCTTGGGGAAGACAGATATATCTAGAACTCTCCCTTCATGAAACCTATCCGAAATAGTTTCATTTAATAAGAGTCATACACACTTCTCAAATCAACTCTGTTCTTCTTCCAACACCCCCATGGGATCTAAAAGAACGAGAATATTCATCTCTATTCCCCAATTTCCTCTTTTAAGTTCAACCCCAAAATCAACACAATTTGATAGCTTTAAAAAAGCTACTAAATTATAGCACAGCAACATAGACAATTCAGAAAAGTTTATGTTTCTCTTTAAGGTGCAACCAGTCATTTCTTGCAACAGACCAATACAACTGCTTTCCTTGGATCTGTCAATAATTTACTGGTCATTCTTCTTCCCCACAGCAGGGATGGGCAAGATACAGCCTTCAGATGACACTGAATTTACTTTCATAAACTGCAGACAACATTACCAGTGAGGTAGAATGAGGGAGTCCAACAGCATCCAGAGGGCCATATATTACCTGTGTTTGCCCTACAATTCCTTATGCCAAAAAACCCCAGCTACATTTTATGCAGCATCAGGCAATGTTTGATCTATGAAAGCCCACTCACACAAGTAAGGCAAGAGACTGAAGGTGTTCACATTATTCAGTTGTATTATGGACTGATTTTGGCCAAGTCAAAAATATTGCAAAGAATACAGGTAGTCTTCGACTTACGACCATTCATTTAACGACCATTCAAAGTTACAACAGCAAAAGTGACTTATGACCAGTCCTCACACTTATGACCATTGCAGCATCCCTGTGGTCACATGATAAAAATTCGGATGCTTGGCAACTGGCATGCATTTATAATGGTTGCAGCAGTCCCAGGGTCACGCGATCACCATTTGCAACCTTCTGAGGGGGCTTCCAACAAGCAGTCAATGGGGGAAGCCGGATTCACTTAATGATCACATGATTTACTTAATGACTGTGGCAAAAAACATAGTAAAATTGGGTGTGACTCACTTAACAACCACATCACTTAGCAACAGAAGTTTTGTAAGTCAAGGATTACCTGTATTTTAAGGCTTGGTAGGTTGTGTGACTGTAGCTATATTATTGTGATTTATTAAATAATATTTACCATATTATTTAGTAAATCACAATGAAGCAAGTTATGGTTTAGCATAATAGGTGGACTCAGTCTTATATTGACAGTAATCTAAGACTGAAAAACAAAATGAGTTTCCTATAGTTGATGCCTAACTGGGCAAATGAGAAAACTTCCATCAAAATCCCAACCTTTACAGGATTGTGGGCATATCTGGAATGTGAGAGTATGTTATGGGCAACCTGGCTGAGTCAATCAGAAGATACCCATTTACCAGAAGGCAAAGTGCACCATATCTCTGGTCTCTGAGAATGTTCTCTATTAGCTCAATTATCTTTGTCTTTTCAGTGCATAAGCAAGCACGCTTCCAAACAAAGCACTGAACTGCACTCAACCCACCATCCTTTCTTTTTTAAGAAAATCTCTGGGATCTACAGAGTATGCATGAAGCTGGTGGTCTGCAGCATGTTAGCTTGAATGAATGAATGAATCTAAAAAGAATCCAGGTGGGGAAAAGCCCAGTGGGCACAAAAGGAAAGGGCACTGGGCATAGTAGCACCAAAGAGCATCACCCTGGAACCAAGACCTTACATTATAAAGAAGATTCCATTTTAGATTATATTGAAATGAGGCAACTTCATACATACATATATACATACATCCCCACTTATGGATAAATTATAGTCCTTACACTTCTCACATAAGGGGGAAAAAACCCTGAAAACTCAGTAACCCTAGTCAAAATCCAAGAAGCCCCAGAGTAGCAGAATCAGTTTTCTTAGCACGTTTTCTAGGCACAAACAGAAATCTAATAAGTGAAGCTTTTGTTGCCTGAAATGACAAAGAAGCTTCCCTTGATATGTTTCTTCATGTGATTTATTTTTTAAAAATGGAACCTTTGCTAACCAGGCACCCATATGGATAATTTTAAAAGCAGAAGTGTGAAATTTGCAGCCCTCCAGATGTTGCTGGTCTGAATTTTCTCGGCCCAAGCCAACGCAGCCAATAGTCTTGGAGTCCACCACCACACAAAGGACTAAAGATTCCTCACCCCGGCATTTAAACTGTGGATGGATTTCAAAAGACAGCAAACATATTGTGTCACACCTATCATTTCAGGATCAAGATATAAAATGGTCTCCGTTAGCCTTCTGCAAAAATAAAGAGTACCCAAAACACACTCTTAAACTTTCAATTTAATTTGTTTATATGCACATCTGAGAGCCAGTTTGGTGTAGTGGTTAAAGGCACTGAGGTAGAAACCAGAAGACCATTAGTTCTAGTCCTGCCTTAGTCACGAAGCCAGCTGGGAGACCTAGGAAGGAGGCCATGGCAAGCCACTTCTGAAAATCTTGCCAAGAACACTGCATGGGCTTGTTCAGGCAGTTATCACAAGTCAACACTGACTTATAGGCACAAAAACAAAACAACCCACGCGTATAAGGCATATACTCTGCCAGATTAAAAAAAAAAAAGATTCCCAGCACAACCTTGCACACAGGACGGAAATATGCATTTTTAAAGATGGGTATATATAGGTATTTAGTATGTCATGACTAATTAATTATCCCAGGCAATAAGCACTCCCATCAACCAGAACACTGAAAATTATGTTGGGACCACTCAGGTAAAATGTCCTTCAAACTGAGTCTGAATCCTGGTGTCTATATGGACATGCTCATTTTGTTTCTTGGCAAGAAAACAGGAGGGGTTGTCCCTAGCTTCTTCCAGATGTTTTTTCAACTTCCAATAGCCCTGGGATTTCCTGATGCTCTCCCACCTAAATACTAACCTGCTTAGTTTAGCTTTTTTGAGATCAGCCAAGGTCCACTCAGTATTGCCATCTACTGTGACATGTACTCCCTAGTATATTCATTTTGCAAGTCAAAGATCAAGTATGGCCCTCAGCTGAAATAAACTGTCCATCCCTGATATATACACTGGATATCTAACTTGGACAGCTGCATTTTTCTTTTTTAAATGGATCTTGCTCTGCAAGCAAAGCTCCTTTTTCTGGCAAGTATAACGTAATAGGAAAGCATCAGGTTTCTGTGAGCCTGGCAGCTTAGCGCCATAGCAAAAGTTAACTCCTGCCAGAAGCTGCTTACGCAAACAACCTCCCTACCCAAGCAATATAATATCAGAACAAACTTGCACAATATTAGAAGCTATCTTCCAAGAAACAGAGGAGGGGCAGAATCACAATTTGGAGTCAGATAGTTGGCAATGTTTGACAAGCTAAACTAACACTGCCCAAGCATTACAGGCATAGGATTAGTGAGAAAGGAAAAACAACAGGCCTGCTTCCACTACCTGGCAGGTCATCTGCCAGTTCATGTCCTCTGTGTAAATCTTTCTGCATTCAGGGATAGTTTAGGACTAAAATCTTAGTGCTGTAATTTTCTATGAAGCCACTTTGCACAACCTATCACCGCTGATGATGGCCCCCATCTTAGAAGAAACCACTTCAGCTCCCAGACAGGATGAAGCAACTCTTCCAAGATGGCACTTACAGCAATGCACACACATATACAAATAAAAAACATGCTTTCTTCTTCAGAACTCTTTTAGTCAGATGCAAATCTATGCATGATTTATTACTAATTTTCCTTTAATCTCATGACACTTTTACTCTACCTCCTTCTTATTAGAGGCTATGCACCTGTAATACAAACTGGGTGCAATTGTCCCAAATACCAAGATCCAAGCGCCTGTTGAAATCCTGTCTGCCTTGCTGTTGTTAAGAAGCAAAGTTCTACCATCAGGAGAGAAAGGAGTATGTAGCAACCTATCTACCTTGTACTTTCAATATTGCTTCAGTTATCTTTCTTTCTAGGACATTTTTAGGGAGGGAAAAAGGAGGAGTCCTTAGAGAAGATGAGGAAATGGCCGTGTAAGATCAGTGGCCCATGTTAGACAACTTTCTGCTTCCCTGGAACATGTCATCTACTACCATGGAGAAGCTTTCCAGGAGTGGACAACAACATTTGGGTGACAGTCACAAGAACCATCAAGTTAAAGCTATTTACTGGTTGGGATTTTTAGATGCCGACCCAGTTTATACATTGTGCCAAGCCATGGTCTGCTTAACCACAGTTTACTGAATCAACCATAATTGGCTGGGCTTATGCAGTACACCAAGCCAAAACCACATTATGGGTGAGTACCATGTGTGAAGCAGACCTTTAGTCATTAAATATAAATCATGTTATAGACCAGTGTTTCTCAAACTGGGCAACTTTAAGATGTGTGGACTTCGACTCCCAGAATCCCCCAGCCAGCATGGAGTCCACACATCTTAAAGTTGCCCAGTTTGAGAAACACTGTTGTAGACAGTACATTAGCTGCTGTTTTGTAATGGCCCTTCAGTCAGAAGAAACTCACTATCATCTGGCCATGAGGAGTTGTCGCTGAGTGGTAGTTCAATCCTTGTCCTCAACCAAGTGTTTTTTATGTTCTACCAGAAGCAATTCCTTTGGCTCTAAATTTGCCATCACCTCGGTTCCCTGGCTTAGCAAGTATAAAGAAAGGTAATTTCCCTTATTGCTTTCTTCTTCAAACCACTCTCAGATCCATTTCTTTTTGTCACAAGAAACCACTACAAGACTCCAAAAGGGGCTGGGGGTAAGGTCATCACACCAGGTACAGCTGATGGCACCATTCATAGTAAGAACTTTTTTGAGGGAGGCAAAGAGCACTACAATACCTACCTGATCCTGAGAAGAGAAAATAAAATGTATTGCCACCAGACTCGCAGCTAAATCAGGAAATCCCAGACAGGATTTAATCATCCACCTGAGGCTTGTGCAAAGTGGCTTCACACAAGCTCAGAGCAGCAACAGAGCGCCACATTAAAGTCATATGTATCATATAATCAAAGCTACATATTGTGATTCTGAAAGACCCTGTGCTTGGCCAGTGTTTCTCAACCTCGGCAACTTTAAGATGTGTGGACTTCAGCTCCTGCAGGCACCAGAAGTTGGGAAGAGTGAAGAGACTCCAAGCAAATGCAGGTCCCCACATCCTCTTTTTGAAAAACATCTGCAGTAAGTCTCATTGAACTCAATGGGATTTACCTCTAAGTAGAAATTAATAAGATCACACTGTGTTAGCTGGGCTGTAATTTTTGGATTTTTAGGATTTATTTATTTTATTGTTTTGAGAAGCAGAGTCTCCTCCATCACACCTCTGTACTGGACAGCGGCCCAGGTGTGCCGGATGATATGCCCACGGGTGTTGCCGCCCTGCCGAACCCGGAGAGTCCCCCGCTGCCCCTCTCTTTGCTGCTGTAGCAGGAAAAAGTACAGATGTCAGCGCGTATCTCCAACCCCAAATCTGTGCACCGAGACGACGGAGAAAACTTACGCGGACACGGTTTTCCCACTGATGATCTCCGCGGAAGGCATGGCGATTCTCCTGACAACAGCAGTTTCTGCGCTTAGAGAGGCTCCGATGGTGTCTGGAAGGGGTTCAAAAACCCCCGGGACCCTCCTCCTCTCCTCCTCCACCCGCGCTCTACCCACGTGGCTGCAAACCTTGCACGCCACTCCCGCGGCGCGAGTCCTCTCAGACAGCAAATCCGGGACGACTTCCGCGCCCCTCCCGCTTCCGCCAGGGGAGGAGAAAGAGGAGGGGATGGAGCCGGACTTGGTATTTTGGCGCGCGCGCGCGCCTGAAGGCCCCAAGCCGCTCCTTTCTCTGCGCGATCCAAGAGGCGTCGTCTCCCCAGTAGATCGCCGTCGCCCCCTGCTCCTCCTGAGTAGGGGGGGCGATCGTTCCTCTCGTGGAAAGGCGAGCTGAGAAAAGCAAAGCTTAGCGAGGAAAACTGGTTCTTCCTAGATGGTCTACCTGGCTCTTACGCGCCTTTTGCCTAGAAGTCAATGCGCTATGTACAGATGTTTTTAGGGCATCATTAGAAAGTTGACAGGATTCAGTTCTTTGAGATCAGATTGCATAAAATTCGCCACTTGGGGGATCGGGTTGCACAACTTGTTTTGCAGATAACATCAGGAAAAGGAGTTCAAGAATTCCCAGAATTCTTGGGGTGTGTGCGTGTGCGTGTATGTGGAGTGGACATCTGAAGGTACAAGGTTGGGTGCCACTGCCTTCACTTAAAAAATTAAGTCTCCTTTGAGTTTAATTGGCGATTTTATGGATTCCTGCATATAATTTTATTTGGCAACAGCTAGGTTTGCCATTACAAAATCTTCTCCTGGGATATTTTTTTATTACCCAGTCTAGTTTACAGCCCTGTGATTTCCTAGTGGTCTCCCATCCAAGCAGTAAGGAGAGCCAGTACTATATGCTGTAGTGGATAAGATGTGGGACCAGGACTCGGGATGACCAGATTTGAATCTTCTCTTAACCAAGGAATTTCACTGGGTGACTTTGATCCAGTCGTAGTCTCAGTTTAACCTGTACCACAGGCAGCAGCATCCTTGGGGGTGAGGGGGGCAAGACAGGCAAGATGGTGCTCCCATCATTGTACAGGTGTGCAATGACATGAGCACGAAACAAGCAAAGCTTCCTTGGTGATGTCATGACTGTCATTTTGTCCGTTTGATCCCCCCCCCCCATGCTGCTGACCACCAGTCTGTTGTGGGGATAAATGAAGAAAGAATAGATCTCTATGTAAACCACCTTCAGCTTCTGGAGAATAAGGATATAAAGTAAATAAGCAGGTCCAGCCCTACTTAGATTTTCATGGTCAGCCAGGGTCACTTAGGCAGCCTTTTTTAAGCATCTATCTGGCCCTTTTTTTCCTTCATTAATAAAAGCAAGAGGAAAGAGCTGGATGTGAGCCAGATTTGATTATAGGACTCATGGCAGGTGTCAAGTCTATCTGCATTTAGGGAAGAAAACTGCTTACAGTAGCTTGATGTGGCTGTTCAGTTTCTTCCTTAAAACAACCAGGCTGCAGTGGATCTGGACACAGGTGTGTATTTCTGGTCTTTCATTGGTTTCTGTCGTTGGTCCTTGGTTGGGCCCATTGCTGTATCTGTTGCTGAAAGAAAAATCTCACCAGTTCTGCTTGCTGTATGATCTTTTACCTCCCCTGAATGTGTTGCACCCATTTCCATGTGCTTATTGGGACCTAATTAGTGGTCTGAGAGCAAGAAGCCTGTGTTTTAAGGAGCTAGCAAATAGAAATTTAACAACTAAATCTTTTGCAATGACAAAATACAAGGATGGGGAAGGCTCCATTTTCATGATGCTGATTTTGAGTTTGATGCTGAAACTCCTTGAGTTGAACCCAACAGGACAGTGTTTGTGAAATGTTCTCTTTCCTGCAAAGAAGTATTTTGAGAATTCTAGTACTGGAAGTTAGAATCTTTATGGACATTCCACAACACAGTCATGACCCAGCAGGAAGGTGTTCAGACAAGTTTTAACCATACATAAAAATTACTGGAGTTATTCTACCAAATGAGAATAACTGTCATTCTGAGAGTAGCAAAATGGCAGCCACAAAGGTTCTTTGATCTGCAATTTGTTATTCAGCTTGTGGGTTTTCCCCTTAGTATCAGAGTTCCTAAATGACATTTTGGACATCTCAAACAGCATTCCTTCCTGTCGTCCATGCCTCAAGCAAGGTTAGTGTTCTCTCTCTTCATACTGTACC